TCTTTTGTGATTATGAAATGGCAAGGTAGAGTCACTTGAAAAGAAATCAGTTTTTTCACCCGAACAATAACAATAGGAATGTGATTGCATAAAGTGCCATAGTCACCAAAGTTAAAATGATTATTGAAGTAAGCAAAATTAATATTAAAAATAATCTAACAAGGCCCATGTAATTATCTGCTGCATAGTTGTATAGTTACTGGAAAATTTCTATAGTTCATTGAAATTCCAAGATACTAAGCACCTTCCTTGGCATTATATCTAGGAATGCACATTGTATGGAAGAAGGAGGAACTCTTCTGGACATAAACAAAGTATAGTGGTGCCTCGCAAGACAATTAAACTCGCAAGACAAATGATTTTGGCAATGGGGGGGGTGATGACTCGCAAGACAAATGTTCCTATGGCCACGCTTCACAATGAGCCTTGTGGCGCAGTGGTTAAAACGCTGTACTGCAGCTAAAACTGTGCTCACGACCTGGGGTTCAAATCCCAGGTAGCTGGCTCAAGGTTGACTCAGTTTTCCATCCTTCCGAGGTCGGTAAAATGAGTACCCAGCTTGCTGGGGGGGGGCAATGTGTAACCTGTATAATTAAAATTGTAAACCGCCCGGAGAGTGCTTGTAGCGCTATGGGGCGGTATATAAGTCCAATAAATAAATAAAATAAATAAATAAAGAATGTTTTCCATTTTTTGTTCCTGCCTCATGTTTGCTGATTTTTAAATGTTTTTCTATGATGTTTTAAAAAAAATTTTGATTGAAATTTTTAAAATCATCTGCACAATATGTATGGCTCTAAACAGCACTTAATAAACCCTTTGTAGACCAAATTTGACTTTGTTCTGACTTTTTTTGGCCATAGGAACGCATTAATTAGATTTCAATGTATTCCTATGGGAAAACACGTTTCGCAAGACAAATTTTTCGCAAGACAGCATTAACCGCAGAATGAATTAAATTCGTCTTGCAAGGCACCACTGTATTAATTGTTAATACCATAACATTACTCTGAGGTACAGCCATAAATCTATTAAAAATACATTGCAGTCATGGTCACAACTTAAGAGGGATGACCTTAGAAGTAGGAAAAAAGACAGAGTTTCCATTCCACTCTTCCATCAACGGGGACACAGGGATTAAACACATGAATGTGCTGAAACCTGTAGAGTGTTTTATACACTTCTGTGTAAAATAATAATAATAATAATAAAAAACCCTGACAATATTGTGTTTGATCCGGAGGAAGCGTTCACAAAAGCTATCAGGTGGCACATGAAAAGACATCCTTTGATGGTCCAATAATGCTGAATTGAAGGAGTCATAGACTATCCTATTACGGAAAACTTGCATCACAGTCACAGAGAAGGGAATTACAAAGACATGTTTTCTTTTGCATGGTCCTATGGTAATTTTCAAAATGGAGAAGACAATATAAGGCCTCATGTAAAAACATAAGAGCAAGTGTGCTGGGTGTCAAAGGCCTATCCAGCCCAGCATTCTTTGTACAGAGGCCAGCCTATGAACAGAGGCTGCCTATGGGGAAGCTGCTCAACAAGACAGGAGTGTTGTACAAGTCCCAGTCATATTCCAGATTGAGTGGTCCTGAGAGGCACACTGCCTTTGATATTGAATTACCATTTTATTAGAGCTAAAAATAGATCTGTTCAGAATTATGCTAAAGCTCTTCTAAAACAATACCTAATAAATGTTTTGGGCCCTGTGGCTTGTGGAAATGTAACAACCATTTCAAACCATAGGGAAACCACAATAATACAGCTTTCTTAAAGTGTAGCATGTCTATACTGTAAGTTCCACTCCTCTGAACTGTTTGAGTTTCAGCTTTGCTGATATTTTAACTCTCACCCCTTCTTGACTCTAAATAATTGGTTCTATCGGGAGAAAGAGGAGATTAAGCTGAGATTGAGAGACAAGAAAGCAACATCCAAGTGTCCACAGGCCGTCCTCCATTAGCACAGAATATGGAAGTAATGTCCATCCTCTGGCTGGACTCAAGAATCATATGGACATACCTTTCTTAACTCACCATGCAGAATTCTGGCAAATGGCTATACTATGGAGGAAATAAAGTGGTGCCTCGACTTACGAACGTCCCTACTTACGACCATGGTGAGTTACGACCAGCTCCGGCAGCAAAATTTTGCTTCTACTTCTGACCGGAGCTGCCACTTATGAACAGAAAAAGGCAGGGGAAAACGGCGGGAAATTCAAATTTCGAACTGTAGGTGGTGACGAGGCTGCTTCTTTGTAGCTCTTTAGCCCCAGCAGTTAGAGTGTGTGCGATCAGAGAAGGCTGCCTGGTAAGGTAAGGTGCTATTTTCTGCTTTTTAAAAACTGTTCTGGGTGTTTTTGCAGTGTGGTTTTGGGCGGGGGGGTTATGTTTCTGTGCTGTGATGAGTCTTGGAGGGTTCGTTTTTTGGAGTGTTTTCCCCCCATTTATGACGGGTCTTGGGGGTTTGTTTGTTTGTTGGTGCTTTGCTTCCCCCCATTTCTGATCTGTCTTGCAAGCTTTGCTTGCTTTTTGCATTGCTCTTTCCCCATTTCCAATCTGTCTTGCATACTTCGTTTGCTTTTTGCATTGCTTTTTTCCATTTCCATCTGTCTTGCATGCTCTGCTTGCTTTTCTTTTTATCCCTCCCTTCAGCCAGAAGAGATTAATCACATTTACGATGGGTCTTGCTGTGATTTTTTTGTGTGATTTTTTTTGTTCAGCTGGAATAGATTAAGTGCATTTCAATGGGAAATGGTGCTTCGACTTACGACCATTTTGAATTACGCCCATCTTCTGGAACAGATTAAATTCGTAAGCCGAGGCACCACTGTACTGTACTGGGACACCTATTGTTAAGCACAATTACAACCATTAACACCCACCAAGGTTACAGTCCATCCACAGTCAGCAATTTTGCACTTAACACCTCGAATGGGCGCCTATTATCCATGTGCCCTTGCCCATCTTTTGTTCTGAAGGAACCTCTTCCCAAAATTAAGGTATTAAAAAGGCATTGCATCCAGGCAGCAAGGCACTTTATTAACTCACTTCCTGTTTGTATTCAACCTTCTTTTAAAAAGATTATCCTCTACTCTCCAAGATAAAATGTTTCCTATTTCCCTACTTTGATCCACTTTTAGTATTAGTTTACTGGGTTCTGCTAAGCTGAATAGATTTTTTATTAAGAAATATCTCACAGCAGGAGTCCATGTGGCTCACCTATACCTCAAATGCCCATCATGGCCTGGTCTTTCTTTCAGCATGGTGTTTTTGACAGCTAGGATTAAAGATGTGGGTATCTGCACAGCTGGACTTAGCCCACTCATGTGTCTACTGGCAGCAGCAGCCTTGGTAAGTCTTCCAATCGCTCCTGGAGCACAGTTCTCTTTCCGCTTATCTAGCCACTTGGCAGCCATGCAGGGAAACTCGTCCTTCGAATACCCCCACCTCTAGCTAGGATGGCTAAGATTTGTAAAGATTGTCCAGCATACTAGACCACTAGACTAGTAGTGGACTTGTTGGTTCTACACAGCAGAACCAACAAAGAGTCCCTTTCTATCTCTCCTCCATTAGTATATGTAATTATCTATACCGGGAAATCGCAGAACGAAGGTTGGTAAGCTGCTCGCTTACCGACCTTCGCTTTGCGACCCGCCGATCAGCTGTTCCGTGGCTTCAAAATGGCCGCCGGAATAGCCGAAAGGGGCCAGGGTGCAGCGTTTTCGCGCCCTTGGTAAGCAAGGGGAGCACGCGAAAACGCTGCGGAAGCCCCGAAATGCGCGCAACCATTTCGGTGCTTCCGGCAGCGTTTCTGTGCGCTCCCCTTGCTTACCAAGGCCGTGAAAACGCTGCATCCTGGCCCCTTTCGGCTCCGCGAAAACGCTGCATCCTGGCCCCTTTCGGCTGTTCCAGCGGCCATTTTGGACCCGCCGGACAGCTGATGGCAGCCATTTTGGCGCCCTCGTTGTGCGAGGGGAGGGCGCTAAAATGGCTGCCGGCCCCTGGGAAACATCGCACAACGGTGAGTATTCTATGGCACTGGAACGCATTAAACTCTGTTTAATGCGTTCCAATGCCTTTTTGTGTTCCGTAGTGCGATGTTTCCCACAGCGAAGGTTAATCCGGAACGGATTAACCTCGCTGTGCGGGGCACCACTGTATTTTTAGGGTTCCCTAACTCACACCTATAACATCTTGATTTTAAAAACTGATATCTGTCTGGAAAAAGCAGGAGACAAAGCTGAGACATATACTAAGTTGGAGTATTGACTTCATGTAGTTCAGTACTGACAACTCTGACCAGTTGAGTTTCTCCCAAGTTTCAGATTCGATATTTTCATAAGCTTACCTAGAGAATCCTGTATCTCCCAGTAGTCTCAAATTTAAGTACTATCTAGGTCCAACCCTATTTAGTTTTCTGAGTCAGATTTGATCAGTTGCGACTTCTCTTACTCCCTTAAATTTAGAACAGCTATCTATTCCTCCATGGGTAAAATATTCTCACATTGTGGCATTTTTCCTCCCTTAGGCCTGTCAGATTTCTGGCAGTTAACAACATCTGCGCCTAGTTGCTCCATGACCCTCAGTCCTCCTTTCTCATCTTCAATTATCTCTATAGATTTAACCAAATAAATGTTGGCAAATGCTATTCATGTATACGTCTCTTCTATTTTTGCAACCTATTGCATACTGATTTATTCCCAATGTCTAGCTTGTTTGTCTTTTTCCTTTTTTTGTCACCTGAGTTCCCCAATTACTGCTACTGTCTCCTGTAATTTTCAGATAAAATTTATTGACACACATTACCCCAGTATACATGCATTATGAGACACTAGTACTGCTACTGCATATGATGTGGCACTTTGCTAGTAACAAAAGAAGGTTTCAACAAATAATAATTACAAAAAAAGTTCTAAAGTAGAATCAAATCAGTCTCTTAAATATAATTATATCTGTACTTCTAGAGACAAATAGATGGTATAATTGTACCTGTTTTTGCTCTTCTCCCAAGCCATCCCACATAGAAGCTACTATTTTCGAAACTTCACCGAAGGTAGCGTTTGGATTTTGACCCTTGATGGCAGCTTGGGTATCTCGGAAAAATAATGCATAGGCAGAAACAGGCTTCTGTGGCTCATTAGGGTCTTTCTTCTTTTTCTTCTTGGGAGTCTTGGGTTTTTTCCCCATATCAGAGGCAGGTCTTTTTTCTCCCCCATTGACCTGCAAAGGAAGCAGATGTTCCATTACAAAACAAGCAAACACTCAGACCACCATTACTGGAAAGAAAATTAAATCCCCATTTACCAGTCCTTGTGTATTTAAGGTTTTGCACATTAAAATAATATTTAAATTACAGTACAGTCCTTTCCATAATCCACATTGTTGGTCTCTTACATCATTTAATCTATAAAATGGATATTCAAGATTATATAATCCAATTTTATTGCACATTTACATTTTGCTTTCCTTTCATTGTTCCATCTAAGTTGTTGTTTAGCTTTTCATCCTTCTATATTTTTCCAATCGTACATCTAATGGCATGACGTCACCTCACAGTGTTTCATAATACACAATATTTCAAACAAAGGTTAAAATTTCTGATGCTTAATTTTAGAAGTTGTTTTATCAGACACAAGAAAATAAAAATGTATTATGAAACTATTCTGGTATTCATATCAGGGAATTTACTATGAATTCTCCGCTAGCACCAAAATATAAATGGGGGTAGGGGTGGGACAAAAAAAAAAAGGAAGAAAAAGAATTGCCAGTAGAAAGGACTTTTTTCCCTCCATAGTTTTCTTCTTCAGACATTGGAAGTGGTAAGTCACAGCTAGAGCAGGCTCATTGAATCAATAGAAGGTACACAAGTGTTGACACACCAAATCCCCACTGATTCAGTGAACCTACTTTGAGTGTAATTAACTACTGGCTTTCAGCCATTATTTCATCTACTGTAGCCAACATTCTACAGTGCTGATATTTTTCCCTCCATGGTTTTCTTCTTCAGATATTGGAAGTGGTAAGTCACAGCTAGAGCAGGCTCATTGAATCAATAGAAGGTACACAAGTGTTGACACACCAAATCCCCACTGATTCAGTGAACCTACTTTGAGTGTAATTAACTACTGGCTTTCAGCCATTATTTCATCTACTGTAGCCAACATTCTACAGTGCTGATAAAACTGTAGGAAAAAAACAACAGGCTGATCTTGTATAAAAATGCTGTGTTTTAAATCTATCTGATATCACAAACTAATAATTTATTTTTTAAAAGTAATTGCTGGACCAGTTAAATGAAAATTTATGAATCTATAACTATGTTTGCATAATTAGAATATGAATTAAAAAAGAATAGCACTGGACGAAACAAATAGCTCTGAGGAGAAAGAACAGGCTTTCTGCATTAAGCAAGGAAAAATCACGTCCCATGGACTTCACTCTCAAGGAAATTTGTAAGACTGCAGTCTTTAGCTTGTTTGGAAATGCCTGGTGTGATGCTGTGCCTTGTGGTTAGGTAATATATTGTTCTTCTGGCTTTGTTCAAAGAGATGTACCAAAGCAAAGGACCTGGAGGGGCACCAATACTTGGGAGCACTACAAACTTCCATCTAGCCCCTTGTCAGCCAAAACAGGGGAAATAAGGGATGTGAATATGAATGAGGAGTGAAAATTGAAATATTAGTTCAGAAGCAGAAAAAAGAGAAAGGGAATTTCAACCACCCTTAAAATTGCACACAATTTATCTAGAGCACCTTTGAAAGTCGTATCAAAAGATTTCCAGTAGATTAAATTGTGTGATTAATTGAAAAACGGGCTGCAACCTAAAACAAATTTAAAGCAAGCACACTACCTTCAAGCTCTGTTGCAGCTGCCTTATTTTACACAGTAAGTAGTGTTGTACTAAAAATAATCTCAAAAAGGTGCATTATGGACAATGGTGGGCTTAGTGTGTGAATGTACCAAATTTAGATTGTACCCAAAGGGGTTTAAATTCATTGAAGCCAGTACATTTTTCTGTTAATGTCTTTTTTTCCTAGATCAACATGAGCTATGTTTATTGATTCAAAATATTTATATACTACTGTTTGAGTCTGAGACTCCTCAAGGTGCTTGTAAAAACAAGATGTTAAAACATTTTTAAACAAATCATAAATTCTAAAATTTAATAAATTTCTACTAGGACCATAAAACATTTAAAATAACAATAAAAAAGCTCACATTGACTTTTTTTTAAAAGATGCACATTTATTTAAAAGAGACTGGAACATCCAAGTCTTTAAAGCCATTTTAAAAAAACATGCTGTCTCTTTCATAATACACACGTTTCACTCTAGTACAGTGGAGCCTCGCATTACGAGCGCTCCATTTGACGACGAAATTGCATCACGACGATTTTGCAATCGCAAAAGCGATCACAAAACGATGTTCGCTATGGGGGAATTTCGCTTTGCGATGATCGGTCCCCTGTTTCACTAACCGATTATCGCAAAGCGATGATTTTCGGCCAGCTGATCGGCGGTTTCAAAATGGCCGCTGGGTGAAAAACATGGTCGCCCGCTGTTTTCTGGCACGGATTCCTCGCTGCACAGGCAGCGAAATTGGCCGCGCTATGGAGAATCTTCGCTGGATGGTGAGTTCTAAGCCCCTAGGAACGTATTAATTGGGTTTTAATGCATTTCTATGGGCTTTTTAAAATGGCATGACGACGTTTTCGTTCGACAGCGATTTTTTCGGAACAAATTAATGTCGTCATGTAAGTAAGTAAGTAAAAGTAAGTAAAATATTTGTGCCACAGGTGGTAGGTGGTAGATGTCCATGTGGTAACTGCTAGAGACATAGATGCACTGTCTGTGAGATGAATCTTATTTTCCGTTTGATAAAATATTGCAGATTAATCTAGGATGGTGTGATATCCATCACAACAGAAGAGCCAATTTGTGGAACACACTCTGCTTCTGATGTCTTCTGGTGTCTTTCCCGCCCTTTCTCACTGCCTTTTTGCCTTCGGAGCTCTCAAAAGGCTTTCCGCCTGACATTGGAGGAATTGCGGTGGCAGCGACACCCAGGGAGGTCTCCCATGGTGGCAAGCAAGCCCTGGGAGACCTCCATGGGGGTCCCTACCACCACAATCGGCGCCTTTGGAGGTCTCAAAGGGCTTTCCCCCTGACATCGGAGGAAGCCGTTTGAGAGCTCTGAAGGCAAAAACGCAGGGCGAAAGGGCTGGAAATTCGAATTTCCCATCCTTTCTCCCTGCCTTTTTACCTTCAGAGCTCTCAAACGGCTTCCTCCGATGTCAGGGGGAAAGGCCCTTGAGACCTCCAAAGGCACTGATCGCAGTGGTGGTGACCCCCAAGGAGGTCTCTGATGGCGACGGGGAAGCTCCCAGGGCTTCTCCGCCACCATCGGAGACCTTCTGGGGGTCCCCTGCCACCGTGATCAGCGCCTTCAGGCTTTTCTGGGGAATAGACCGGGCCTACCGGGGGAAGCCCTCAGGAGGGCTTCCCCCAGTAGGCCCAGTCTACTCCCTGGGAAAGCCTGGTAGACCGGGCCTACCGGGGGGGGCTTCCCCCGGTAGGCCCAGTCTACTTCCCGTGAAAGCCTGGTAGACCGGGCCTACCAGGGGAGGGCTTCCCCTGGTAGGCCTGGTCTACTCCCCGGGAAAGCCTGAAGGCGCTGATTGCGGTGGCGGGGGACCCCCAGATGTCTCCGATGGTGGCAGAGAAGCACCGGGAGCATCCCCGCTGCCATCGGAGACCTCCCTGGTGTTCCCTGCCGCCACTATTGGAGGCAGTGTCACCCAGTGCCGGGAGGCTAGAGCTGGCCAGGTGCTTGGCCACTCTCCCCCGGCCATGGCGGAGGCAGCGAAGTGCCGGCAGGCTTCAGACTGGTAAGTCCTTTTTAAAAAACTTTTCTGTGTGGGTTTTGGAGGGTGGTTTTGGACTGGGGGGTGATTTTGCTGTGGTTTGTGTGTGTGTGTGTGTGTTTACAGTCCCATCGTGGGACTTGCCCTTTTTATTTTTATTTTATTTTTGTTTTTGTTGTTTTTTAAATGCTGGAATGGATTAATTCCATTCCCATGCATTTCAATGGGACATGGTACTTCGACTTACAAACTTTTCGACGTACGAATGTCCTTCCGGAATGGATTAAGTTTGTAAGTTGAGGGTTGAGTATATAACAGTTGGATGGGCAGATGTTTTGAGGCAGTGGTGCTCAGGCAGTCAACAAGGGCTGAAACTGTGAAGGACTTTAAATGCCAACATAAACACCTTGAATTTGGCCCAGAAGCATACAGGCAGCCAGTGCAGATGGACTAGGACAGGAGTTATATGGTCGTATTGAGAAGTTCCAGAGACCAACATGACTGCAGTATTCTGTACCAGCTGTAGCTTCCAAATTACCTTAAAGGGCAGCCCCGCATAGAGTGTTGCAATACTATATTTTCAGGATTACAAGCACATAGACCAGCATTGTGAGGGATTTCCTGTCGAGATAAGGGCGAAGGCATGCTATCCACCTCAGCTGGTAAAAGACAGACTTGGCCACAACCAAGATCTGATTCTCCATTGTGAGGGCCAAGACCAAAAGCACACCAAGAAATATTTTTCAGTATACAACATTTTATGACCTCTAAATGTTTGGATAATATCTGTAGACAAGCACTGTCACACTATACTACATAATCTCTGTAGTGCCATATTGTGAAACTTTAAAATAATTATTCATTATGCATATATTGCCATTTCTGGCAGAAAAGTGAGATAGCAAATAAGTAAATAAATATCCTGTCTTCATTCAATACTGAATGTGTATCTTGTTGCTGCCTCCTCCACCTCAACAATTCATAGACAGCTATTCTTCCAAAGCAGAACCTACTCTCTTTCAGTTAGTTCTCTGTACCAAATTTATCTCACAAGAATTTTAACCATACTCTTTCAGTTTGACAGACAATTAATTCCTTAATTTCAAATGAAACATTTTGTAAACGTTCCCTTAGGTAGGGTTCAGGACTGACTGACTGGCTGACTGATTTTTGTTTATTTCATTTCTATCCCACCTTTCCTCCAATGCAGGTAGATACCAAGACTTTTCCTTAGTTCTGAGATGGTTGAGGCTGTATTAAATGTCCTGGCTTTCACTGCACAATCACTTCTGTAATCGTCAGCTGCCTCCCCAAACTGCCCACAATTCAACTATCACTCAGAGATTTTCAGTTCAAG